TAGAATAGAATAGGATTAGAATAGGATTAGAATAGGATTAGAATAGGATTAGAATAGAATTAGAATAGGATTTGATTAGAATAGGATTAGAATAGGAGTAGAATTAGAATAGAATTAGAATAGGATTAGAACAGAATTAGAATAGAATAGCATAGCATAGAATAGCATAGCATAGCATAGCAAAGCATAGAATAGAATAGGAATAGAATAGAATTAGAATAGGATTAGAACAGGATTAGAAAAGGATTAGAATAGGATTAGAATAGAATTAGAATAGAATAGCATAGCATAGCATAGCATAGAATAGAATAGAATGGAATAGCATAGCATAGCATAGCATAGAATAGAATGGAATAGAATGGAATGGAATGGAATAGAATAGAATGGAATGGAATGGAATAGAAACGGCCATATGGGATAAGCGGGCGTAACTGGCGTGAATGCACCAGCGCTCTGCCCCCTTGACCACACCTTTCCTCTGTACTAGGTGTTGCTCGTCCACGGTGCTCCCGATGTGGAGGATGCCGTGCTCTGTCAACGAGCAGATTTCCCCCAGCAAAATGACGCCCTGGCGTCCTTTGCCTATCCGGAGTAGCCTTCGGACTAGGGTTTCAATCTGGGCTTGATCGATACCACCAAGTGCTGCCAGCGCATAGAAACCGAACGAAGGAAATTCACCTTCCTTATGGGGATCAAAGGTCAGTGGCCGTATCAGCCCTTCAGTGACGATCCTCCGGGCACTCGCAAAATCTGTGCCATGCGCAGCTATACTTGTATGCATTGTGTCTGTCACCACTGAATCCAGCAGGTGCCAAACACCGGCTTGGTTGGCACAAAATCTAGAAGATGCACCAAAGTGCCACCCATCCCTATTTCGGATAACTCCATATATTCAACTATGCTCGGCGTTACAGCTTCCACTGCCGCTTTAGAGAGCAAGACTTCGACCATCTTCTTGAGGAGTTCCCGTGGGCACTCTGGATCCTTCCTTTCAAACAACCAGCTCACTTCAGCCACCTCCGCAACAGTTGGCTGCAAGGGCACTGGCAACTCCTCCTCTCGGAGTTCTAACAAAGTCTTGGTCCTGCTCGTGTCCTGCCAGGCCACTTGCACGGCTTTTGACCAATAACTTTTGTTCTCTTGCCCTTTCTTTGGATCTGACTGTTGGCTCTCAGTGACGGCCTCTGCATCCCAATTTCTCCTGCTTTCCCTTCCGCCACGACTGGCTACCCGCAGGCTGGGAGTTCTTGTGCTCATCCGACACAATTGTTTTTTCTTTGTTTGGTTTTGCTCTTGGTGCCACTCCTTCCACCCTTGGTGCCCGTTCTGCTTCCACTCTGCCGTGCTATGCTCCCCCTTTGGTAGACCTGGTGGGCTTCTAGGCCTTTGCGTCTTGCTTCCCCTGCTACCCGACCGTCGTCGGTGTGAGCGATGCCGGGACCTGCTTCGATTGGCACTCTTCCGACGGTGCCTGCGTGAGGATGAAGACTCTTTCTTTCTTCGGGCCGCGCTGTTGGGTTTTGGGTCTCTCATGTTTTTGTCTTCTGTTGCATTGTTGGTACAGGAACCGGAACTGGAACATAAATAATCTGCGCACTCTGTGGCTTGCTTGTTGGCAAGGTTGCGCACATGCTGGCATGCAGATTGCTTGGCTGCAGCGTTGCACACACGCCTGTTGCTAAGAGCTGTTGCTGACCTAGCCGCGAAGGGTATGTCATCATGTGTTGCATGGGGGGGGTCGGGGCCACTGAGGGTATGATGTTGAGAGTGCTGGCGCTGGCGGCATTGGCGGGTGTGTGGGGGGGAACAGCAGAGGCACAGCTGTATGTTCACCGGTTGCGTTTGCGGGACTTGTCTCGGAAGCATCGGGTGCATACACGGCAGCATCTGCATCGGCGGACAACTTGCTGCCAGCTGCTGGACGGCTGCTGGCTGCATCTGTGCTTGCACCGGATGGGTTGGCAACATGGCGTCAAATGGCGCGTACCGGGCAATTTTTGTCTGTCTGGCAAAGATATCTTGTGACAGTTTACCTGGCAAAGCGCATGCTGCGGCAGGGCGCACTTTACGGAGCAAAGAAAGACACCGGTACAAGTTAACCTCTGTGGGCATTAACGACTTTGTGTATGACTCTCTGCAGTCACAGCTCGGTGCAATTATATAATAAGGGATGCCTGCCATTCAAGACTGTGCGTCTCTAACTGCCTGTACAATCAAAACACCTAAGTAGCAACTGCATTGCACTCTGCCCCTGCTCCGTGAGCCGACGCTGCCCCAATTTCTCTGCTTTGTCTTGACTGAATCAACCCAAGTTTCATATTCACCATTTCGCCTGGACAACCCAAACCCAGCTAGCGCTCGTCGTTCTCGACACGGCCTGGCAGCACAACAAAAGCGGCAACTGGCGCTGTGCTTTCCCGCTCTAGCACAAACCCCTCCAGGCACAGACTCTTTCGCCGATACTGCGTGTGCCACCCCACCGTCCCATCTAACTGTTTCACAAAAACCCTGCCAAATCTACCCATCAACCTGCTCCGCATGTGCCTTCTTCCCCCGCCGCGCCTGCGCACACCAACGTGAGCAGTTGCGTGATCACAGCATGACCTGGCATCTTTGACACATTTTTCCATGCCTTTTCACGTATATTGCCGCTTTGACTCCGGCACGCTTGAGTGCGGACGACAACCCTTGCAGCCGGAAAAATGCCAGTAATATGTTCCATCCCTCAATTCAGGTGGCATGTGTTTGGCCAGCCAGCCAACCATGCAACCTGCCACGCAACTGGCCACGGATAGGATAGGATAGGATAGGATAGAGTAGAGTAGGGTAGGGTAGGATAGGATAGATAGATAGATAGGATAGAAAGATAGGTAGGATAGATAGGATAGATAGGATCGATAGGATAGATTAGATTAGATTGGATTAGAATAGAATAGAATAGAAAAGAAAAGAATAGAATAGAATAGATAGATAGATGGATAGAATAGGATAGAATAGGATAGGATAGAATAGGATAGGATAGGATAGGAGAGGACAGGACAGGACAGGATAGGATAGGATAGGTAGATAGGATAGATAGGATAGATAGGGTAGATGGGTAGATCGATAGATAGATTAGATAGATTAGATAGATTAGATAGATTAGATAGATTAGATAGATTAGATAGATTAGATAGATTAGATAGATTAGATAGATTAGATAGATTAGATAGATTAGATAGATTAGATAGATAGTTAGAAAGATTAGATAGATAGATAGATTAAGATAGATTAAGATAGATTAAGATAGATTAAGATAGATTAAGATAGATTAAGATAGATTAAGATAGATTAAGATAGATTAAGATAGA